ACCTTGAGTGTAAAATATTGGAGTTTTTATTCCTATTACCGTATAAGCAATATCTGGTGTTGTATACTCAACACATAATTCTATTTCTTTCCCTTTCGGCCATGTTTTATTAATAGGGATCAGACGTTTTATAAAATTAAAGCCTAAACAATTTGATAAATATTCATCAAAACACAGACCAATTGAAGCAGTTATTTTTAATAAATTTTTATTTATTTCAAGATTTATTTTAGGAAAATTTTCCACAAATTTAGTTCCGAATGAATTAAATAAATTTTCAATTTCACCTATTGAATAAATACCAATAAATATTGTACCTAGTGGGATTTGACCATTTCGACCTAATCTAAATTCACATTCTTTTTCAATATTTATGTAATATTCACCATCAATAGGATAGTACATTTTTTTCTCACTTGTCATTGAAAAATCTATATTATCATTAAAACCTAATATTTTTTTAATTTTTCATCTAATTTATAATAACAAGGAGATTTAATTATAATTCTATTAGTTTCATCAGAAAATGATATAATAAGTGGTTCTATTTCTTTGTTCAATTGTTCAATACTATATCTACCTGTTTTTATTTTTATTATATTCTGTTTAATTTTTATACAACAGTCTGATTCAATATTAATAAAATCGTTGCCTTTCAAAACTATTGAATAGAGAGCTAAAAAATGATCACCATCATCATTGTGTGGATGACGGCTGCACATGCAAAGCCGGTTACGAGTGTGCGTGTGTGTGAGTGCGCGCACGGACGGCGGCCAACACGCAACCCGTTCTGTGTGACGATACTTACGTCCTAGGTCGATAGCCCTGTGGGAGGGGATAAAAGTGGACTGTATTTAGGATGGATTCAAAATAGTGAAATTTTAGGACTTATAATGAATGTTAACAATTACGTTTGTGGTATGAAAAATGTACAGAACAATTTATTTTAATGTTCTGCAGATGTAATAGCTTAACGACTAGGGTTAGTGATAATAAATAGTGTGCGCGATCACAATCCGATCAGCAAAATAAATCGATGAAAATAATACACAGCTCGCGTGATGCGAATAATAAATAACAACAAATAACAATATTGACAGTAGTTAACCTGATAACGTGTGTACGACCTGGTATGATAACGCGAATTGATACCGCGACGACGATGCTGCTGTTGACCCAGTGCGACGTCGATACCGGTTGCGGGTGTTGACCTGACGGCGACACTTGTGCTCTCGTCGAATGGATCGACGACACTGCGTACGCACGGCTGATGAGCGACGGTGAAGGGGAGGTACTCCGAAATATTGGACGACGCGGACACAAACTCGTCTTCCTGTTAGAAGGAGATCGCGAAACGGTCTCGCGTGACCATCAGTTGTCTGGGCGTAGAAACGCGGCACAAAAGACAACAAAACGAGGTTAACCACGGTTCGCACTGCGTAGGATGGGCGGGCGGAAACACGTGGGCGCGTGAACGAGCAGGGCTCGAAACGCACAGCGAGTCGGGTGAGCGACGAAAAAACACAAAACAGGGTTGTATCCCGACACAAGCGGTCGAACGATACAACAATTAAATAGATCGCGGTAAGCGTACCGCGCTCGGTGGTTTCGCACTGCGACAAGGCGGACGGACGGAACCACGTGGACACGTGGGCAGTGTCGGTCTGGCCCACCCGGCTACCCGGCGATCGCCGGGGGCCCACTAGACATTTTCATGTATTAAGGGCCCATAGCTAAATGGAAAAAAATATTATATTTACTCGAGATTCCAGACTCGGGTTCCAATCGTATCAATTTGTAAACATTGAACCATTGGTTATAAATACTAGTATTTATAATTGATAATTGAACATTATAATTATTGAGGCCGCTGGCCGGCGATTAAAATAACCACTATATTTAGTCGATATAATATCATTAGATTTATGCCATATACCTATATAGTTATATTAAATCTATTATCCGTGGTCTGCAGTCGGTACCACGGATTATTATACGAGACAAAAATAGATTTACGATAAGGTAAACTCGTCACCCATACACTGATACAAGTGATACACACAGACATACAAACAGATACACAAACTTATGTTCGCGAATCGCTGTACATTCGGTCCTAACAGCAATACTCAACCGTAAAATTTAAAATGATGAAATCAAAATATCTTAGTGGTGCTGCCAAAAGAAAAAAGAAAGCGCAACAGAAACAACATATTTTAGAAACAAATAAAAAAATTAAAAGTTTTTTTGAAACCAATCGACATGGTAAGTTCAAAGTACTTTTTTTTCTAAGCGCTACGAGGAGGTACTTCGCCTTGTGGGCTATCATTCCCCTCAAGTTCAAAGTACCTGGTTAACTTATTACTTATTACCTATTTATGTTTTTTAATAGAGAATAGTTCTATTAGTTTAACCTTTAACACCTATTACCTAATATTTTTTACATCATTATTCTTATAATTCAGTCTAACTGATGAACTATGGATATTTTTAGGTGAAAATGTAAATTCTATCTGTGAAGATTTAACAGAAAATGATAACAATTTAGGTAATTATATTCAAAATAATATTACAAGCTGATTAAAAAACTATAAAGTATTTAATTTAAATTTTGAATTGTTTTAATATTAAGGTGAAAATGTAAATTCTATCTGTGAAGATTTAACAGAAAATGATAACAATTTAGGTAATTATATTCAAAATAATATTACAAACTGATTAAAAAACTATAAAGTATTTAATTTAAATTTTGAATTGTTTTAATATTAAGGTGAAAATGTAAATTCTATCTGTGAAGATTTAACAGAAAATGATAACAATTTAGGTAATTTTATTCAAAATAATATTACAAACTGATTAAAAAACTATAAAGTATTTAATTTAAATTTTGAATTGTTTTAATATTAAGGTGAAAATATAAATTCTATCTGTGAAGATTTAACAGAAAATGATAACAATTTAGGTAATTATATTCAAAATAATAATACAAACTGATTAAAAAACTATAAAGTATTTAATTTAAATTTTGAATTGTTTTAATATTAAGGTGAAAATGTAAATTCTATCTGTGAAGATTTAACAGAAAATGATAACAATTTAGGTAATTATATTCAAAATAATATTACAAACTGATTTTAAAACTATAAAGTATTTAATTTAAATTTTGAATTGTTTTAATATTAAGGTGAAAATGTAAATTCCATCTGTGAAAAGGAAGATGTAACAAATGATGAAAAATTCTTTGGTAGGTACCTTTTTAGTTTTTATATTTTTTAGATAAGTTAAGTAACTTTATTTATTCTAAAATCTACGATTTACATCATACCAAATATTGAGTTATGATTATCTAATAAGTAATAATTATTAGTTATAACTTATTAATCATGTGTTCAGCACTTCTACAGGATATTGATAGTTATAAATTTATGTTAATAACCTTAATTTATGTTATTTTTAAGGGCTTAACTCTGATGACAATGACAATGATTTTAATGAGAATAGACAACAATTGCAGTTAGATTTACACAACAACCATAATTACGATGTTGACTTTATTATACCTGACTGCAAGGAAAGTATTGGAACAAAAAAAGCATTTTTGGAACGACATCCCATACAACCTTTAGGAACCAATGGAAAACAGATGCCTTTTAATCCAAGTAAACTGTATTATCGTGCACTTCCTAATGGAGAAAAGATTTTAAGAAAATGGATATCATATTCTTCTATATTAAATAAAATATTTTGTGCTAGTTGTATGGTATTTTCTGATAAAACTTCTAATGTTTCTCCATTTGTCAATGGTTATACAATTAAGGCAAAACATGTTTATAAAGCTGCTGAAGAACATGAAAATTCAAATACCCATCGACACGCAATATCAGCTGCACTTCAATGTTCAATGAGTAAAGATATTGGCTCATTAATTGACCGTGATCTTACATTTAAACGTATGAAGGAAATAGAGCAACGAAGATTGGTCCTTAAAAGGCTTATAGATATTATAATTTTTATTGGGCGTCAAGGTTTACCATTCAGAGGTAAAGAAGAAGGTGCCCACTCATTGAATAAAAAAGGAAACCATGGTAATTTTTTAGAATTAGTCTTATTACTTGCTGATTACGACAGTGTATTACGTGTACATTTGGATCAGTGCGTTTTAAAAAGTGATAAAAATAAGCAAAATCGTGGAAGAGGTTCGCTAATTACTTTCATGTCAAAATCAATTGTTAATAAATTAATTATTATAATTGGAAATTCTCTACAAAATATTATTTTAAATGAAATAAAAGAAAGCTCAATAATAAGTGTGATGGTAGACAGTACTCAAGATGTAGCGGTTATGGATCAGTTGGCTATAGTTGTTCGATATGTTATTGAAGGAAATATATTTGAACGACTTTTAAAACTAGTAGTTGTTAAAGATTCAAGTGGTAAAGCGTTATATGATTTACTAAAACAAAATTTTGAAAAATGTGGAATATCAATGACCCAAATAGTAGGTTGTTCCTTTGATGGTGCTGCTAACATGAAAGGAGCTTATAATGGACTTAAAGCACACATATCAAAAGACAACCCTGATTTAATTTACACACATTGTATGGCCCATGTACTTAATTTGGTAATCGCAGACTCATCAGAAGATTGCTCAATATCTGAAAATTTGTACGGGTTAGTTGAAGAAACTGCTGTATTTTTATCTAACTCACACAAACGAATGAACATTTGGAAAGAACAAACTGGTAAGATATATTTTATTAGTTATATTTATATTTTATCTAAGTAATTTACATTTATAAATTACAGGTGAACGACATAAAGCACATGCAAAATTGTATCGCATTCAAAAAATTGGTGAAACTCGTTGGTGGAGCAAACATAAAGCGCTTGCATCTATAATTGATCCAGAAGAAGATGAAATGGAATCTAGTAAATTTTGTAATTTTTTTCTATTTCTAATAGAAATAATTCAAGGTAGATTTGACAGTAAAACTAAGTTTATGGCTCGTACATTATTAGAAAAGTGGTCTCAGTTTGATACATTATTTGCAAGTATAATTATTTTAGATTTGTTTTCTATAACATCTCCTGTATCTAAGTATTTACAATCAGATTCAATTGATTATTTAAGAGCATGGCGTTCTGTAGAAACTTTACTGGAACTTGTCAGTAAAAAAAGAAATGGGGAACATTATACTAAACTTTATAACAAATGTAAATTATTTGCTCAAAAACTTAATACTTTTTTTATAGATGAACCATTATTGGACTTTCAAGACAATTTTGTATCAAAAAGAATATCTGTAAAAAAAAAAAACCCTGGAGAATTATCTAATGATGAAGTCAAAACTTTATCTCCCTTTAAAAAAACAAGAGGAACATATTTTCAAATTCTAGATACTGTAAAAATGTCTATTAATGAAAGATTTGTACCAAATAAAGAACTGTTGATGGATATCGCTTGGTTGGATCCTTCAAAATACAAGGAAATAGTAAATCTTTCATTAGAACAGCTTCCATCTAATTCGTTAAATAAACTATCCAAATTGGCTGGAGTAGATAGGAAAACATTATTTGTTGAATTAAAACAGTTTGCAGAACAATATTCAAGCTTTTCTGCAACAACAAGATCTGTAAATTGTGAACATAATGTTAGAGAAACAATAGATACAGAAGATGATGTGGCTGCTATAAAACAACCAAAATGCGGTGACTGCTTACCTAAAGTCTATCAAATACTATATGAAATAACATCAAAATCTGATTTGTTTAATACATTATACTTAACAATGAAATATGTTTTAGTTCTTCCTTGTACACAAGTTTCATGTGAACGTGCATTTTCTAAATTGAAAATTTTAAAAACAAAACTTAGATCGTCTATCAGACAAGAACATCTTGAACCACTAATGTCGTTATTTGTCGAAGAAGATTTAATACAATTTATTCAAAAAGATGAAATAATTGATCAATTAGCATCTTCTAGTCAAGAGCTGAAGAGATTATTGTTTTAAAAAATATTATTTTAAATTATATTATATAATATTTTATTTTATTATTTAATCAAAAAAAATGTTAATTTAATATTAAATGTACAAGGAAAATGCAATTACCTTTATATGTTATAAAAATTATAAAATTTAAAAAACTTTTTTTTTTGTAGGGCCCATCGAAAATTAATGTGCCGGGGGCCCAATCATAAGCCAGACCGACACTGCACGTGGGTGAACACGGCTCGGGGTCGCGCAGCGAATAGATCGGGCGGGCGACGAACAAAACAAAATAAGCCGTGGTGTCGGCACGGGCGGCCGAAAACTCGAATCGCGGAAAACTGGCGTTCGCGACGAGTTTATGAGCAGCGAGGCTCGGGTTCACGGAACGCATAAAAATGGCGTGTTGACGGCGGCGTGACACCGGATCGCGACGAAAAACAATACAATTGCCAAGACGGCTTGGAAACGACAAAGACAAGCGGCGGCGGCCGACCGCTGGAAGAACGACGGCGACGCGTCCGTCCCCTCTCCGGGGGTACAAAGTTCAACCGCGTAGCGTCGACGGCTGAGCAACAGGGTGACAAACATTGCGACACGGACGTGCCGGACGCGTCGCGCGAAATTTGAATATAACGAATTTGGTATCCAACATTTCCTCCCCGCGTTGAAAGACCCAGGCGTCTTTCAAGGAACCATCAGATATGCATCTTGACGTTGGAGATCAGATCGTACACATTACAAAAATACGGGGCTCTAGATACATAAATACACTGGTGGTACTTATAATAATCATATAAATAAATCATCATTAAACAAAATACATAATTGACAGGGATGAGACCGTGACTGATACACAAAAAAAAAAACAAATAATTAAAATATTTACATAATGAGGACATTGGACATGAGGACAGGGATCAGGGCTCGACCGGTAAACGCACGAGTTTCACGACCGGGCGCTTGTAGATACCGTCCTGAGTGCGCACGGACACGACACGAACGACATCATCTGGTCCTGGATGGACCTCTGTGACGCGGCCGAGACGCCACTCGGTAGGTGGTCGAGACGGGGCTTCGACGATGACCATGTCGCCGACGGTGAGGTTCGGGGATCGCGGTAACAGAATCGGATGCTTCGCGTCGTAGCTGGCGTCGGAAAAACGCAGGCGACCTCCCACTCGTACAATGTTGTTGTCGTCGATATATGGTGCTAATTGTGCCAAAGATGGGGGGGTGATCGTAGACTTATTTTTTAACGTTTTAACCAGATCTGAAAAGTAATACTGTTGTGTCCGTTGTACGACAATCGACAAGGACCTTTCTCGCTCAGAAAACGTGATAGGACCGACACGGATCGGTTGCCGTCGTAGGCGATGAGATAAAAAACGAGAGACGTAAGACAATACTCGTAACATTTTCTCGAGCGACGAAAATTTACCGATGAAATCCAACGAAGACGGATGGACATTGACGGCCAACGTTGCGACGACGTTAGGCCGAGTGTCCGGCAGCTGCTCCGGAGCGAGCGGAATAAATCTAGACGGTGGCCATTGGTCTTCAGGAATTCGTAGGAACTCCGGACCGTCCCAATAAATAGACGAGGACAACATTAATTTCGGCATGAGTCCACGAGAGGCGGGATCCGCGGGATTGTCGAGCGTTGATACGTAGCTCCATACGCAATCCGGTAGTAGCTGACGTATTTTGGCGACCCGATTGGTCACAAAAATTTTGAATTGTTTTTGGTCTGTGGTCAACCACGATAAGACAACTGACGAGTCCGACCACGCACGCAGACGAGATATAGACACTTCGGTGGACAGCACAGATTGCACGTGACGAAGTGTCTGGGCCAACAGCAGGGCCCCGCATAATTCCAAGCGAGGTATGGAAAGCGACTCGTCGACGGCGGCACTCCTCAGAGGGGCGACCTTGGTTTTACAAGTGATGAATTTAACGGAGATGTCACCGGCGGTGTTGACGAGACGGAGATACACGACAGCCGCATACCCTTTAATCGATGCGTCCGCGAAGCCCAATAGTTGAATGTCCTGATGACAGATGACGTCGATGTGACGTGGGAGGTTCAGGTCGAATACGAGCGGAAGCTCAGTGCAAAATTGTTGCCACATAGATTGCAGTTCGGGGGACATCAGGTCGTCCCACCCGAGTTTGTTGCACCATAATAGTTGCATAAAATATTTTGCCCACAGCAGCATAGGGCCCAGGGCGCCAATAGGGTCGAACAAGCGCGCAATGACGGACAACACCTGACGTTTCGTCGAAGAAATTTGATCAAGCCGGGTATGATAGGCAAACTTGTCGGTTTTCGTGTCCCAATGCAGGCCGAGGACCTTTACGGCGTGTTCTTCGCGCGGATCGAACGATATAGAGAGTACACGGTCATCGGGAGAAACGGACTCGAGAACGGTGGTACTGTTGCTAGTCCACTTGCTCAACATACAGGCACCGTTGCGTAGTAGACCGACAACGTCTTCCTTCCGACGTAGTAAGAGCTCTTCGGTGTCAGCTCCGATAACGATGTCGTCGACATAAGCAGCTCTAGTAAGGACGTCTTTAGAAAGTGGAAAACGATGACCGTCTTGCCGGTCAAGTTCGTGGAGACAGCGAATGGCGAGATACGGCGCGCAGTTGAGACCGTACGTTACAGTACACAATTGGAATTCGACGAGGTCGTCAGTGGGTGAGTCGCGCCAGAATATATGTTGAAAAGTCCGGTCTTCTTGACGGATTAAAATTTGCCGATACATTTTAACGATGTCGGCGGACAAAATGTACCTGTGCATACGGCAACGAAGTAAAATGTCACGTAAATCAATTTGAAGTTTGGGTCCGGTGCACAATACATCGTTTAATGAGCGACCGGAGGACGAGGCGGACGAAGCGTCGAACACGACGCGAATTTTTGACATGTCACCGTCAGCCTTGAGCACGGCGTGGTGCGGAATAAAATATTTACCGGGTTCCGGGGCCGGTACCATGTGTCCTAGTGTTTGATAGGTAGACATGAATTTACGATAAGCAGCATACAATTCGGAGTCCTTAGCCAACCGTTTTTCTAGGTTATAAAACCGTTTCAACGCGATGGAGCGCGAATCGCCGAGACCGTGACGCGGTGTGTCTTGTTGTTGAGCTGTGCTCGCGAACAAATGACGAAATGGTAGAGCGACACAGAATCGACCGGTGGAATCCCGCGAAGTAGATTTGGTAAAATATTCTTCACACCACTGATCTTCCGTGGTGGGTGACGTAGGTGCGGTGGGTTCTTCGACCAACCAAAATTGTTGTAATAGATCTCCAATTGACGGCGGAGCGATCGCGGTGGTCAGCGTGACTGGGGGTGACTTGCTCGGAGTAGAAAACGAACCAAAGATTATCCATCCGAGCTGGGTGTCGAGGGCCGATGGTAAACCCGAGTGGTGCTCCACACCCGCGTGAGAGCGGATAAGATTAGGTAAAATATCGGCGCCGAATAAAACGTCGATGCACGACGGAATATCGAAGTTCTCGTCCGCGAGACGGAGGTGTCGATATTGTTGACGCACGGTTGTCGGTAACCGTGTGGATGGCATGACGCCGGTAATTTGTTTTAGAATAACTACTTCAACAGACGGGAACAAATCAGATTTAAAACGCGACGAAAATTGACACCTGCAGGTGACACCTTGCACGTGGTTCACTGGACTTTGCGCGAGACCTACGACGTCGGATTTAAAACGGCGTTTCGATAGTCTTAACCAAGCGAAGCAATCGGTTGAGATGGCCGAAATTTGAGACCCACTGTCGAGAAGTACTCGATCGGAATGAATTTGGTCCCAGGCGTCCCTGATGTGAACTATGGCCGTACCGAGGACGACCGTGGAGTTGATGCATGCTGCACCTGAAAAGGAACTTGACTTGTCGGCGGAGGGACCTGAACTAGGACCTGAGCTGGTACTCTGATTAGTTTTGTTCACGGCCGATGACTGATCGGTATTAAGATGTAGCAAGGAGTGGTGACGCTTACTACTGCACGAGCGGCACACCCCTGTTGATGAACACGCGTTGAGCATATGAGACTGACTCATACATGAAAAACATAATTTTCTAGCCGCTACGAATTCGCGGCGCTTTTCAACTGTCATATCGTTGAACTTTGGACAACGGTAAATACTATGGTCAGCCTTATCGCATGACACACAACCTCGTGACTTAGACTTGACCGATGTAGATGTGGTGGCGGCAAACACTGATTTTTTCGATATAACAGTTTTATTACGCGTATTATATTTTTCGTGTGGTTTCGTTGAAATATCAGATTTACTGGAATTTTTTATGTTCTCTAATACTCGACAGCGTTGTTGTACAAAACTGAGTAACTCGTCGAACGTCGGAATTGTCGAATTCGACGCATTGGATTCGAATAATTGAATTGTCGTCGGATCGAGAACTCGGGATCCCATGTGAAATAATAAAAAGCTTGACAGGTCGTTGACACCGAGCGCTTTAATTATGGCTACATTTTCCTTGAACGTGTTGATAAACGACGTCAAGGCTGGTAGCGACTGGTGTGCAATAGGTTTGAATGCAAATAACTTATCTAAGTGTGCCGACGCTAGCAGGCGCTTATTATCAAACCGAACGGACAATGCTTCCCAAGCGAGGACATAATTATTCGCGGATAACGGAAATGACTTGACAACAGCGAGAGCGTCGCCCGATAAACACGACATTAGATAGTGAAACCGTTCGGCATCGCCAATGCTGGTGTTGTCATGTACGAGAGAAACGTAAATATCGCGGAACGATCGCCACTCCAATAGATTACCGTCGAAGCTGGGCAGCTGAATTTTCGGTAACGGAACGAATTGTTGAGGCGCGGACGCGATGGACGACGAAGAAGACGATTTTATTTCGGACACACTCGCGACGACAGTTTTAATTTCGAGACACATACTCTCCATGGATGCGATCATTGGACGATCATCCTGATCAAACTCGGCCACACGGTCAAGATCGATTAACGCGTTAATTATAACGTCTTGTTGACGTTGAAATTGTTCGACATATTGATTTAAATCTTCGGCGTGAATAATTAACGACGGCACTCGATCGGCATCAGAACGTGCGGCTAAAGCTGTGACGTGAATACCTTTGATGGAGTTTAAAACGTTGTCGCGTTTGACACGTGCTCGAGCGAGAGCGTTTTCAGCAGTTTCTTCTTTTTTCGGTGCCATGACGACAGAAATACGAGATCAGGTGAAATTACAAAATTGACGTGTGATTGTGACGAAGTAGTCGCACAGAAAGATCCGGCCCGAAGGACCAAACAATGTGCGGATGACGGCTGCACATGCAAAGCCGGTTACGAGTGTGCGTGTGTGTGAGTGCGCGCACGGACGGCGGCCAACACGCAACCCGTTCTGTGTGACGATACTTACGTCCTAGGTCGATAGCCCTGTGGGAGGGGATAAAAGTGGACTGTATTTAGGATAGATTCAAAATAGTGAAATTTTAGGACTTATAATGAATGTTAACAATTACGTTTGTGGTATGAAAAATGTACAGAACAATTTATTTTAATGTTCTGCAGATGTAATAGCTTAACGACTAGGGTTAGTGATAATAAATAGTGTGCGCGATCACAATCCGATCGGCAAAATAAATCGATGAAAATAATACACAGCTCGCGTGATGCGAATAATAAATAACAACAAATAACAATATTGACAGTAGATAACCTGATAACGTGTGTACGACCTGGTATGATAACGCGAATTGATACCGCGACGACGATGCTGCTGTTGACCCAGTGCGACGTCGATACCGGTTGCGGGTGTTGACCTGACGGCGACACTTGTGCTCTCGTCGAATGGATCGACGACACTGCGTACGCACGGCTGATGAGCGACGGTGAAGGGGAGGTACTCCGAAATATTGGACGACGCGGACACAAACTCGTCTTCCTGTTAGAAGGAGATCGCGAAACGGTCTCGCGTGACCATCAGTTGTCTGGGCGTAGAAACGCGGCACAAAAGACAACAAAACGAGGTTAACCACGGTTCGCACTGCGTAGGATGGGCGGGCGGAAACACGTGGGCGCGTGAACGAGCAGGGCTCGAAACGCACAGCGAGTCGGGCGAGCGACGAAAAAACACAAAACAGGGTTGTATCCCGACACAAGCGGTCGAACGATACAACAATTAAATAGATCGCGGTAAGCGTACCGCGCTCGGTGGTTTCGCACTGCGACAAGGCGGACGGACGGAACCACGTGGACACGTGGGTGACCACGGCTCGGGGTCGCGCAGCGAATAGATCGGGCGGGCGACGAACAACAAATAAGCCGTGGTGTCGGCACGGGCGGCCGAAACACTCGAATCGCGGAAAAATGGGCGTTCGCGACGAGTTTATGAGCAGCGAGGCTCGGGGTCACGGAACGCATAAAAATGGGCGTTTGACGGCGGCGTGACACCGGATCGCGACGAAAAACAATACAATTGCCAAGACGGCTTGGAAACGACAAAGACAAGCGGCGGCGGCCGACCGCTGGACGAAACGACGGCGACGCGTCCGTCCCTCTCGGTGGGTACAAAGTTCAACCGCGTAGCGTCGACGGCTGAGCAACAGGGTGACAAACATTGCGACACGGACGTGCCGGACGCGTCGCGCGAAATTTGAATATAACGAATTTGGTATCCAACAGGTTTGTTTAAATCAATACGACCCTTTTTAACTTTATACCATTTATAAAAGTAAATTTATTTTTTACTTAAAAAAATTAAAATCATGTCTTGTTTTCCCATTCTTTAAAAATGTTTCACCATTATAAATAAGATTCAATTTTGTTTCCGAATTTGTATTATAACATGTTATTTCGTTTTCTGTAAATTCATTTGTATATCTATCTGGTAAATTTAACATATATTCATCGTTTAATACAACTGATAATCTTTTTCCAAACTTTGTATCAATCTTTATGAACTTATTTACTTTGTATGGTTTTCCTTGTTCCAAATAATTAAATTTTATAAATGTATATCCATTGTTTATTTTATTTAAAGCATCTTTAAAGTTTTCTATTTCTATTTCTTATTTATATTAGAAAATAAAAAAAATTTTTTATTTTCAATAATTTTTTTAAAAATTTTTTCATTATAAATATAAAAAATGAGCGAAACTATATATTGTCTTAAATGTAAATTCAAACAAAAATATTAATGCAACTAAAATTCAAACAGTTAATGGTAGATGGAGAATTTCATCAAAATGTTTTATCTGTAACACAAATAAAAATAAATTTATAAAAAATCCTACAATTGGGCATAATATTTCCAATAAAAAATTAAATGATATTAGCTAAAGAACTTCATAAACCAGTTAGAAAAAATTTCCTAAACGAAGAATTTTTACTAAAGGTATTGATGATTTATGGGCTGCTGATTTAGTTATAATGAGAAATTATTCTGATGAAAATGAGGGTTATTCTTATATATTAACTGTTATAGATACATTTTCAAAATTTTCTTGGGCTTTAGAACTCAAAAGAAGATGGAATTAATGTTTCAGAAGCATTTAAAAAATAATAAAACAAGCTATATCACAAAATCATCAAGCACCAAAATTACTTCACGCAGATAAGGTTTAGAATTGAAAATAAACATTTTAAAAAAGTTTTGCAAGAATATGGAATTAAATGTATTCACACTCAAATGAAGAGAAAAATCGTTAATTATTGAAAGATTTAATAGGACATTAAACAGTTAAAATTAGATACAATTTGAAGTTACAAATTCTAAAAAATGGATTAAAATTTTACAAAAATTAATATATGAATATAATTTCAAAGACATACACCGATCTATTGGTATGAGACCTTGTGAAGTAAATAAATCGAACGAAGATGTTTGTTTTTCACAAATTATTTCTACAAAAAACAAACCTAAACCAAAAATGAAATTAGTGTAGGTGATAGAGTAAGAATAACAGCTTCTAAAAAAACATTTGGTAATAAATTTATTAATAATTGGACAAAAGAAATATTTATAGTTAATTGAAATTTAAACACAAATCCTATTACCTATAAAATTATAGATTTAAACAATGAAGAGATTATAGGGAGTTTTTATAACCAAGAGTTACAAAATACAGTATTTTAATAATATGTCCTAAGTTAAAGGAAGTGATATCTATATAAACCTGCTTCTATTATTTAAATAGAATTTTAAATAAAAATTATTTTTATTGAAAAATGAATGTAAAAAAATAATAAAGAATATAATAAAGAATGGATGGATTAAATAAAATTGAATCTTTAATTAAAGAAATTGATACTTACAATAAAATGGATAAAAAAATATATCCTGCTAAAACTTGTGATAAATGTAATTTAACAATTGGTTACAAAAGTTGGGCTTCACATTTAAAATCTATTCGTCATCAAAAATATGATATATATCAAACAGTTTTACCTTGTAGACTTAATACAAAATATAATGGTGTACCAATTAATCAATATCGACTAAAAAATTTTAATTTTTTGAAATTTATGCGAAAAGAAATAAAAAAAGTATACAAAAAAATAAATGTTATGTAAAATTTTGTGCTTTTGAATACTATGAAAATTCTAAGAGTATTAAATATAATCTAAATAAAATTCCAATTGAAGGAAATATTTTTATTATTAGTCAAGGAGATGTTGATTTTGGAAATGGAAATCCTTATATTTCTAAACTATTACATTCACCAACTTGGTTAGAACTTTGTCATATAGCCAATGATCAAATTATTGCAACAAGTGATTATAATCACTATTATCTAGACAATATTAAGATTGTTCAAGATTTAGGAAATATTAAAATGTGTGAATTTAGTATGGAATCTTAATATTATTTAAATTTTGAATATTATTTTTAATAAAAATTATTTTTATTAAAATATTGAATGTAAAAAAAAATAATATTTTCTATAGTAAAGAATGGAAAATAAAAAAATTGAAATCAATTTTAATAGAAATGTTAACAATAATCAAATGGATAACAAAACTTGTGATAAATGTAATTTAACCGTTAGTTACAAAAATTGGTCTAGACATTTGAAATCTATTCGTCATCAAAACAATGATCCAGATCAAACAATTATACCTCGATTTAGACGAACATACAGAGGTACAACAACAACAAATGTAAGAACAAGACAAGAGAGAATACCAAAAATAGATAAAACTTGTGATATTTGTAAGCTAACAGTTAAATACAACAGTTGGTCTAAACATGTGCAATCTATTCGACATCAAAACAATGGTATAAGACCAAGAATATCAAGAGAGATAATACCCAAACCACATAGAGTTTTCAATTTTAGTGAAGACATTTTTGAAAAAAACAACACTATTCGACCTATTTTAAAAAATGAAGAAACAGCATTTCGAGATAGACTAAAAACTTATATTATTAAAAATAATATGGGTATTAAAGATATACAAACATTTTTAAATCGTTTAGATAATCCAGTAATAGGACTACTTAAACACGAATTAAAAAAAAAAAATTTAAAAGTTAATATTATGTTTCTTGCTATATATAAGAGAGGTAATAATGAAGAAAATATGGAATATGAGGAAAAAAATTTTAACAAAAAATTCTAACTTAAATGAATTTTATAGAAATGCAAAAATAAAAATTGTAAAAGAAGAAGACGATTTTATAATGAAAAATTCACAATGGAAACTTCATCAAATTTTGAGTTTGGGAATAAATATAAATAAATATGTTCCTTTTAAGGGTTCTTCATATATTTCATTACCTAAACATATTAAAGATAAACATGCTATTATAAATGTTAAAAATAAAGATGATAAATGTTTTCTTTGGGCAGTACTCTCTGCTTTACATCCTGTTGAAAAAAATGCTCAAAGAGTAACTAAATATATTCCTTTTAAAAATGAATTTGATAAAGAATTTAAAGATATTGAATTTCCGATAAAAACCACAGACGTTCAGAAATTTGTTAAAAGAACAAAAGATATTTCTATTAATATTTATTGTTTAGATAAAAAAGTAATTGTACCTTTACAAGTAAATAATATCGAAAAAACTAATCATATAGATTTATTATATTTAACAGTGGATGATAATATGAATAAAGGCCATTATTGTTGGATTAAAGATTTATGGAAACTAGTAGGAAGTCAAGTTACAAAAGATGGTCATAAAAGATTTTTGTGTAAAATGTGTTT